GGAAGAATTCAAAAGGAAACGGAAAGTGTTTCAGAATATCTTGTGGAAATCAAGCGGCTAGCCTCAACGTGTGGATTTGGCGAATTTTTAAAAGAATCCTTAAGAGATAAATTAGTGTGCGGATTGAGAGATGCAAAAATCCAGAGGAGGATCTTGTCGGAAGGAGATGTGCCGTTGGCAAGAGTAGTTGAAATTGCGTTGTCGATGGAGGCAGCAGAAAGAAATACCAGAATATTCCATGTCAATGAGCCTGCAGATAGCGTGGACAAAATACGCACAGAAGTCAGTGAGCAAAAGAGAAAGTGCATACATTGCGGGAGGTTGCATAAAGACTTATGCAGATTTAGAGAGGCGACCTGTTTCAGATGCGGGAAAAGAGGTCACTTGGCAACCATCTGCAGGAGCCGTGGGGAACATACAAGCGAAAGACAGGTGAGCCGGTTTCGGAACCAGAGAAAGATTAATCTAATCGAGGATCAGGAGGAGGAAGAATCCGTTCAAAGAATGGTCTTTATGAGGACCTATGATTATAGAGTCAAGTATGCTACGAATGACCCTCCATATGTGATTAAGATGAGAGTAGAGGACACTTTGATGACTTTCGAAATTGACACGGGTAGCTGTCTGACGTTAATATCGGAGAAGGATTTCAAAAGATACCTCCCAGACGTGCAGGTAAAGGAAGCGGGAATAATTGTTAAGACCTATGACGGAACGGTGGTACCGATTCTGGGTGAAATAGAGGTCAAGGTCGATTTTCGGGGAACGATCGCTAAGCTTAGAGCTGTCGTGGTGAGAGGAGAAAGGAAGGCCTTGTTGGGGAGAGAGTGGATCAATGTTTTGAAAATTGGAAATTCTATTGTGAATCGGATGCCTTTGGAGGACACGTTGGCGGAATTATTGAGTCAACATCAGGTTGTGTTCGGGGAGACAACAGATCCAATAAAAGGATTCGCATTTGCAGTGAATATTCAGGATGTAAACCCCATATTTCATAAGGCCCGACCAGTTCCCTTTGCGATCAGAACGGCGGTAAACGAGGTACTAGAAAGAATGGTGGAGAAGGACTACTTGTATCAAGTACCCAGCAGCAAGTGGGCAACTCCAGTGGTGGTTGTGCCCAAGAAGAATAATGAGTTTAGGATTTGCTGTGATTTCAAAGTAACTTTAAATAGGTTCTTGGATACTGCGGCCTATCCGCTGCCTACTCAGCAGGACCTGTTTTCCGTATTGGCTAGAGGGAAGTATTTCTCTAAACTAGATTTGAGCAATGCATACCTTCAATTAGAGGTTAACCCGAGCACCCAGCCACTCCTAACTATTAATACGCATAAGGGGCTTTTTAGGTTTAAAAGAATGCCTTTTGGATTGGCAAATGCCCCTAGTTTTTTTCAGTCAGTTATGGACAGAATATTGGCGGGAATTAATGGGGTTATTTGTTACATTGACGATGTACTCGTATCCACGGCGTCAGTGGAGGAACATATGGCAGTATTAAAAACTATTTTTGTTCGGTTGCAGAAGCACAACATAAAATTAAAAAGGGAAAAATGTGAATTTCTGCGAAGAGAAATACAGTATTTAGGACATCTCATCAAAGAAGATGGTATTCGGCCTTTAGAGGACAAGATACAAGGGCTACAGAAAGCCAAAAGCCCGACAAATGTCTCGGAATTGAGATCTTTTCTGGGATTGGTTAACTATTATGGAAAGTTTATTCCGAATTTGCCAGAGATTTTGGAGCCACTTCACAAGCTGCTAAAAAAGAATAGTTATTGGAAGTGGACAGGGGAGTGTGAGGAGGCGATCTCGGAATGTAAAAAAAGAATTACCTCCGAGAAAGTGTTGGTGCCATATGATGCCACGTTACCCTTGTCTTTGGCCACGGACGCATCTCAGATTGGAGTGGGGGCGGTGCTGTCCCATGTTATCGAGGGCCAAGAGAGACCAATCATGTTTGCCTCACGAACACTTTCCGAGGCCGAACGTAACTATTCACAAATAGAAAGAGAGGCCCTGGCAATAATATATGGTGTGACTAAGTTCCACCAGTTTATCTATGGAAGACAATTCACCCTAATTACAGATCATAAACCCTTGGTATCTATTTTGGGACCGAGAGCAGGGATTCCCACCTTGTCTACTTCAAGATTGCAGAGATGGGGACTGACTTTGGCAGCTTATACCTATGAAATTAAATTCCGACGAACTCAAGATCATGGAAACGCAGACCTTCTCTCCCGGTTGCCAGTAGAGAGTGACGAAAAACCGGTTTTGAATCAAACGTTCTTATTATCATACGTGGAAGATTTGCCGGTTACAGCAACAGAAATAGGTGTGGAAACTAAAAAAGATGAAGTATTGTCAGTGGTGAAGCGCTATACGCAGCAAGGCTGGCCTGAAAGAGTTGGGGAATACCTCAGACCCTACTTTCAGAGAAAGTTGGAGTTAACTATGGACGGGGAATGCTTATTGTGGGGAATGCGAGTGATCATCCCGTCTTCTCTTAGGAAAAATATGTTGAGTTGTCTACACGAGACCCATTCGGGGATGGGCAAAATGAAGGCGGTTGCTAGGTCGCATTTTTGGTGGCCGAATCTTGACAACCAGATTGAATGCATGGTAAATGGGTGTAAAAATTGCCAGCAAACTCAGACAGGCCCAAGTAAAGTAAACTGGAGACCGTGGGTGTGGGCAACCAGGCCCTGGCAACGGATCCATATGGATTTTGCATTTAAAGATGGAGTGAATTTGTTAATTGTGGTGGATAGCCACTCAAAATGGGTCGAGGCGATCCCGATGAGAGAGATAACCGCAAGAAAGACGATTGAGCAGTTACGAAGATTGTTTTCAGCGTATGGGTTACCAGAGGAAGTGGTGTCGGATAATGGCCCACAGTTTACAGGGGTAGAGATGAAGAGTTTTTTTGAGAGAAATGGAGTCAGACAAACTCTGATTCCAGCATACCATCCACAGAGTAATGGTTTAGCGGAAAGAGCGGTTCAATTGATAAAGATGGCCTTGGAAAAAAATAAAAGGAAGTTTGAAGATACCATTCAAGATGCACTGTCTAGAATTCTCCTCACATATCGATGCACGCCGCATGAGACAACTGGGAAGACCCCATCAGAGCTGTTTATGGGTCGGTCTCTGCGGACCAGACTGACGTTAATACACCAGAGCCTGGACAATAGGGTGAGAGAACGACAGGCCAGGCAGATGAGGTATGATCGAGGAAGAGGCCAAGAGGAGTTCGAGGTGGACGATAAGGTGTGGTGTAAGAATTTTAGGGGTGTCGGATGGATCCCAGGAAGAATAGTGGGCAGAAAGGGGAGCAGAGTCTATACAGTGTTGATAAATGGACAGGTGAAGACCTACCACCGAGATCAGATAAGGAGAAGATGGACTAGTGGTGAAGATGGAGATGAGGCCAGAGAGAAAAGAGAGGAGGAAGATGACCCAATATGGATGGCTCCTGAGAGTATGAACAGCCGGAGGGACAGAGAATCGTTTTCGTCGGAAACAGCTGGACTGCCGCAGGATCCAGTGTCCGGGGACCAAGGTGTGGAGATTGAAGGCAGCCCAAGGGAATCCGCGTGTTCCTCAGACAAAGAAGCCCGGACGGAGGAAAGGCCCCTGCCAAGAAGAAACCCTCCAAGGGATCGGAGACCTCCTGTGCGATATCAAAGTTTGTAGGGGGAAGATGGTGTGATGTATTGGCGGATTAATTTAATATTTGTTTATTTGTTGTCACAGAGTTTATGATGATAACTGTGTATATATGTATATATATCGTGTTTGTGTTTTCAGAGTGATTCATTTATCTAGTATGGAATAGTGTAACTTGTTTGTTTATTGGAATTAAAGAGTTATACTTTTTTCAAGTCTTATCTTCAGAATCATTGCAGATTGAGTGGGGATAAGAAAGAAGAAGTAGAAGACAATAGAAGGAATCACAGGATATCATTGTTGGAAGAGACTAAAGGTAGATGCAACAAGTTTCTTTATTTAAAAGGCTGACAGCTTTCACACAATGACATCCTTCACCTTGTATTCTTGAAATATTGTCTTAATAGTAGCTCTTAGTTCTTTCCCCATTCCTAACTCAAAGCTGCGATGAAATTAGAGCAACAATGAGAGGTAACAATGTAGGTAACAATGTGGGTAACAATGAGAGGTAACAATACAGTTGAACCTTGTTCTAACACCATCACTGGGGATACCCACCTATCTTTACATTGTTATGAACACAATTCAAATAATGGGAATCTTAAAATTATGATGTTATAACAAGGTATTACTATAATTTAAAAGATATAAAAGCAATAGAATCTTGTTATAAAATGGCAACATGGTTATAACATTTCTTTTTTTAAATCTGGATTCCAAGTGTTGTTATAGAGAGGCTCCAACTGTAAATTACACTCAAGGACAAAACTTAAGGAAGTTGTACCTTTTAGCATGTATATTGTTGTTGTTTCTTATCCCCTTGTGTAAAGATTACACGAATTCCATGAGTTCATGCTCCTCGAGCTGTTTTATGATAAGCAGAGGACTCTCCCAAAGGTCCTGTTTAGTGCATTTAGCATGTATATAGAGACAATAACTCTGAAAGATATTTGATACACAGTGAACTTTTCCAAGACACAAGATATCTAAGTGGGAACAAAATTGCCTCTTTCTCCTTTAAAAAAAATAGACGACCAGCGACAATAAAGACTTTCCACTTCCTTAAGTTTTGTCCATGAGTGTAAAAATTTTTTTTTTTTTTGCTTATCCCTAGTACACGTGGTACAGGCCATGATAATCATGGTGGGTAGAAGTAGGCGACTGCTTTTACTGTAAGCGCACCACATGTCTACACATGTGAAAAGCAGTTCGACTTTGCACTTACAAATGCCAGAGCCCCGTTTGGTTGCTTGCACTCGCTGGTGGGGTTGGACTTTTGCAAGAATCGGGGGCCATTGGAGCATTTTTTTTTTTTTTTTACAGAAAAAAAGTGTCCAATGCGGGAATCGAACCCGGGTCCTAGTGGTCTAAAACCAAACGGTTTAACCAGCCTTCCACCGACCAGCGACAATAAAGACTTTCCACTCCCTTAAGTTTTGTCCATGAGTGTAAAAATAAATAATAAGAGTTAAAATAATTTTATTGAAAGCTTTTGTTTTTGTGTTTCTAATTTGATCACAAAGTATCTTTCCTCTTTTTGGGGGGGAACTCAATTTCATCATTTGTACTACCTACCACAATAATTCTCTCAATTAATAAGTGCAATTCTCAACCTGCTACCATAAACCACATCATTGACTGTATTGGCTCATCCATTGATGAGCTCTATTCATCCCTAGCCACAGACACCATCTCAAGTTCTACAGGCTTAATACTATAATTGTTTAGTGGAGATAGGAAGTTAATGCTCACCCACTGCTGTGTGCTGCTCCAGTGTTCTCTACCAAGTTCAAATGATCTTTGGTCACCTCCAGAGCTCCACCTTGCAGTTTTACGTACCTGATGGCTTCTGGCGTACCATGACCATGTATGGTGCTGAGGTGAATGTCAGAGAACACCAGGATGCCTTTGAATTCTTCACCCACTTGCTGGACCTGCTCGATAAAGCCCTGAAGGACCTGGACAAACCTGCACTCTCCAACAGGTTCCGCGGCTACTTCCTGGACTGTAAGGTGTGCCAGGACTGTCAGCACAGGTGAGTCCTTCCTTCCTGGAGGAATTGTTTCTTACACATGTCAGCTACTGATGGACTCTTTTACTTTTCTTTTAACCCATATGATTAGGTTCAATTTTGATTGTTAGTCATTTTATTGGGCTATTGTATGTGCCTATCTAATAATTCAATTTTAAATTTAAAAAAACGATCTACTAAACAAGGAACCTTTTAGCATGTTTATTTTATTTTTAAAGAGGAAAACGTTTCAATTTACATATATGGGAAATCTGCTGTTATATAAGCAAATAAGGAGTGGTTTATGTTTAAAATATGAAATTTTCATAAGTTTAGTCCCCATGAGTGTAGAGTGAACTCTCATATCTTACTAAAAGAGGTTCCACACGGATGTAATGACAGTGTAACTGTGTTCCAGGAAAGAGAGAGAGGAGGAGTTCACAGCCATCAGTGTGACAGCGAAGGGCACACTGGAGGAGTCCCTATCCCAGTATGTCATGCAGCAGAAGTTGGACGGGGAGGATGCCTACTTCTGCGAGATCTGCTCCCAGAAGGTATGTTGGTACACTTCTTCTTCTTTCTTATCTCCACTCAATCACACTAAGGTATCAAGCTTGTAAAGCTTGAGATTTTTGATGGTGTCTGCCGGGGAAGAGTAGAGCTCATCAATGGATGAGTCAATACAGTCAATAATATGTCTTGGAGTGTGGGGAGATTTGACAACCATCATGATTGGGTAAAGTAAAATGCTTCTGCCTTTGTCATTAAGACTGGGAGCACTACTCAGTGGCAGGCCAACTTAGCTCCAAAAGAAATGTCCGCCTCTGACATGAGGAACACACGCCATGTGCAGCCGTTCCTAACATGGAGTACAAACGCTGCTCATCCTGTATCCCAGGATCAGGAGCCCTTATAGGGTACTATCAGCCGGGCCACCTGAGCCCAGGTTTTTTAGTGAGCTTGTTACTGCTCCCCCTCCTCCTTTTTCTTCCGGGCTTGGGACCGGCAAAAGCGGAGTTACTGTACACTTGAATGGCAGTGGTAGGGTGATGTATTGTAGTTGGGGACTGCCTTTTTTACTGTAAGTACAGAGGACAGTTTGACTTTTGCATTTAATAATGGTAGGGTGAGCTAATTGCATTGTGGTTGGGGACTGCCTTATACTGTAAGTTGTACTAGATGTCTCTCTCATAGGGAAGTTTGACTTTTTATTTAATGATGGTAGGGTGAGCTAGTTGCATTGTGCCTTTTTTACTGTAAGTACACAGGACAGTTACAAGAAAATAAGGTCTAATCCAAATAATTCAATAGTGTGTAACATTTCAATGTTACTGAAACGTTACACACAATTAAATTAAATGGATTAGGTCTTATTTTCTTGTATCTATAATCCAAATTGTACTTTATCATACGCAGGACAGTTTTTGACTTTTGCATTTAATGATGGTAGGGGGAGTTGTACTCATATTGTAGTAGAAGACTGCCTTTTTATACTGTAAGTTGTACTAGATGTCTCTCTACATAGGGCAATTTGACTTTTGCATTTAAAAGTTACTATAGCGTTATTTGCTTACTTGTGCATTCACTAGTGGAGTTGGACTTGTTCAAGAATTAGGAGCCATTACAGCTGTGGAACTAGTACTCAATGTCTGAAGTATATCTCCTGGGTTATGATTATTGAAAATCAACTGTTAGGTGCCATATCCCTCCACACAGATTGGTTACAGAGTTTGGTGTTACAAAAAGTGAGATATGAATGCTACACCATTCCCAAGTATCCCTTCAATCATCAAGGTAACATTCCCTATCTGGTGTTATGTGTGTACAGAGGAATGCTGTGAAAAACATCTGCATCAAGACCCTCCCCAAGACCCTGGTGGTCCATCTGAAGAGATTTGGCTATGACATTGAGGCCCAGTGCTCCAACAAGTGCAATGACTATTTTAGGGTAAGTCTCATCCTTCTGTCTGATGTCATGCTAACAGATAGCTATTAATAAAAATAGAATGAAAGGTCACCTCCTGATCTTACAACTGAATGCTGCTTCTTTCTTATCTCCACTTAATCATATTAGGGTGTCAAGCTTGTAGAGCTTTATACTTTTGATGGTGTCTGTCGGGGATGAGTAGAGCTCATCAATCTGAATGCTGCTGACTGCCCTCTATCAATGAACTGTTGATAATTTTAATTCCTAAAGAGTTTGCCAATACCTCTTTCTTGAAGTATCAATAAAAACCATTCTCTTCTGTGAAACATTCAATTGTACAATCAGGAGGTGCCCTTTATCTATGCCACTCTCTAAACTATTTTTACGGTATTTAATTAGGCTTAATTTTCTTGTTGCTATTTTTCCTTCTTTTTTTTTTTTTGTTTTTTCTTCTTTTTTTACTTTTTTCATCTTTAAGCATTCACTATAAAAATATTGTCCTAACTCTTTGGGAGTGGGGTGTTTGGACAAAACACAGTTGGACCAAAAAATAAAGAACAAGGTAAAAAATAGGATAAGATGTCAAAGCAGGAGCCTTATAATAGCTTTACCCTCTATATATTTTTATTTTATCCCAGATTTAAAAAGAACAGCATTTTTATGCAAATTTGGGTTTTTTTTTTCCCCCGTTGATATCTCAAGAAGCTTCTAGGACCAGATTTTTGGTCGTTGAAGTATAGCCTGCACCATGCTGACGAGGGTCAACACTCTGAAACACATTTGTTGTTGGCTTTTCTTGATTGATCAGGAAAATGGGATAGCCAAATATCATGGAATAAGTTAAATTGATACTTAGTTGATTTTTGTTCAAATAGATGGCGGTCTAAAATGTTCATGTGGGCAGTCAGGTTATGACCTTTTTTTGGATTTAAAATTGTTCAATTTGGAGAACCCCCCTTTTATATATTTTCATCTTTACATGATACAGTAAATTATTTCAAACAACCTATAATTCAACCTTTTTTTTTAAATTCCAATCAAGATGATAAGTTACAATTTGGATTAAAACACATTGGAATAAGACCAAATCTAAATAAATAAATATTGTGTGACGTTTCGGTAACAGCGTTGTTACCATCTTCAGACAAAAGTTCAGAGTGACTGAATGATTCAGCACTTTTGTCTGAAGATGGTAACAAAGCTGTTACTGAAACGTCACACACTATTTATTTATTTGGATTTGGTCTTATTACCTTGTGTTCCAATCAAGATGTATATATTTCAATTTAACCGACTAATTCAACACTGACTTTAATTCAACCAAAAAATTCTGATCCCCTTGGGATGTTGAATTAAAGGAAGATAGACTTGTATATATGTCTTTTCTTTGCACAAGTTATATCAACATGTTGTTTGAAAACAAGCTCCCAGCTATAGAGAAAGTTGGGGGTTACAGTTCCCCAGAGAGCTGGATGTGGCCCCCTATACAGCAGGGAGGAAGGACCCTCAGATCTACCAGCTCCGGGGGATTGTGGTCCACACAGGCCAGGTGTCCGCCGGACACTACTATTCCTTCATCCGGGAGCGGGACTTGAGGTAAGTCCCATTGGACTACTTGTTTGTACAATGTGGACTTTATCACTGTTGATTCTCTAGTCTAAATCTATCCATAAAACTGGGAATAGTCTTTTATTTTCAGTCAGTTCTTATTGTATTGGGGACTGGTAAATCTTCTTGATCTTTAGTATAATCTGTTTTAAACCCAGTTTGTGTGGTTTTATTTCCAAATTGTTGTTGTCATTCTATAATTGTATTTAGGACTGGTGGGTCTTTTAATGTGAATCTTTTTTAAGTCTAGTTAGATTTTATTTCTTTTTTTTAATCCCATTGTATAATTAATTATATTATACAAAGTCATGGAGTCTATATTCATTACTCCATAAGTCTCCATGATGGAGAGCTGCTGTCGTTGGTTGGCTATTCAGGGGGCACCACATGGAGGTGACAGTCAGACTGCCCCCCCAAGATTTTATTTCTAAATTGTTATTGTCATATATTAATTGTATTTGGGACTGAGAAATCTTTGTGATCTGTTTTAAATCCAGTTTAGTTTTGGAATCATCTCTAGCTAGAAATCAAAAGACAACGATTACAATCACTCCAATTAATTAGAAGTGACCTTATAGCAAACATAGGTATCCCCATAGCTTCTGTAAGTCTTATTTTCTTGTATCTTTTTGATTTAGAAAACATTTCATATCTATTACAGTAAAACCTCTCTGTGAAGAACAAACACCTAATTACAGAGCCAAAGTGTCCTTTTGAGAGAAAGGTCCTCTGACCAGATAGTTTCTCCTCTTCTTCTTTCTTATCTCCACACTGGGTGAAGTAGAATGCTTTTGTCATTAAGACTGGGAGCACTATTCAGTGGCAGGCCGACTTAGCTCCAAAAGAAATGGCCGCCTCTGGCATGAGGAACA